GAAGCCAGAGTTAAATGAACGGTTGACAACTGTCCAGTCTATGGCAAAACTAAATCTTAGGGTCAGGGATTTAGCTCTGTGGTTACGGAGAAAGTCCCGAGTTCAATCCCTGGTACCAAAAAAAACTAAACTAAATCTTAGATTTCTAACAATGATTCATTGTTCTTTCAAGTAGTCAGTCTGTCTCTGGATTATTAAAATACAAGGGACACAGTGAAGCATTTACTCCTTCAGGTGAAATATTTTAAGATCTTCAATCTAATTACCATTCAAAAGATATGAGCTACTCTGCAGCAACTGCTAACTGACTTCAAAATATTCCATACTGGGCCAGGGATTTAGCTCAGTGGTTTCACCGCCTGCTGCGCAAGTGCAAGGACCCGAGTTCGATCCCCAGTACCAAAAAAAATTCCATATTGAAGGAGAAAAAAAGCATAGAAAAGCGTTAAGGAAGAAGCTGAGGTAGCAAAAAGGTAATCAGAACTACAATAAAAATGTATACAAACAAGTGCCATTTTTGAGATTAAGAAAGAAACGGAGTTACCATTGCCATGAACAGTGCTGGGAAGGCACATACCGACATGAAGCCTGAGCCTGACCACTGCTTCAATCTCTGGTTTGTAAAGAAGTTCCTTAAAGGGGACAGTTCCCAGGACCTGTATCTATCTCTTCGAGCACAGCAGCACTATATTCAGAAAGCAATAAAGACGAAAGAGATTCATTCCTATTGAAGGACTAGAGTTCATGACCACAGTATAGAAAAGCTAAGAACTCTTCTCAGCCTTAACCTTAAAAATAGATTCCTCATCAGAAAACTGAGGACTCTGGAGTTTTGTCAACTAAGGTTGTGATGGTAGTAACTATGGGATCCGATGCATTTAGGAGGTAGGAGTTTTATTTCTTCTTGATGTCTTCCTCTTACTTGTAAATGATTAACCGTGACTCTTCGAGATATGTCTCACTTGCTCTGGCATCTTGTAAGAATTCAATGTGCTGAAATTGAACAATGTCTTGGGATTATAGTTGCAATGCATAGTCTGAAACAAGCTTTAAATACACCTTGCATATAAATAATGATAAACCAGTCAAGATGATCAGGGTTCCCTGATGCCTTTCTTGATTTTGCTGCAAAAGACATGAAGTACACTGAATTGCGGTCACTGTTCATGAAGGCAATTGGTTAGGGCTTCTTTTTTCCTCTAATGCTCCAAAAGGGGATCCAGGTATAACAGTTCCAATCAAAGCTTGGGAGCACAGTTTCTATATAGCAGTAGATCTAATAGTTAAGATTTCTGGTGGCCTGAGTTGGAGAAGAGAAAGACAGCTTTTAACAGTTCCCTACCTCAAAGTATCCAATTAAGATGTAAAAGTTTCATCCACGCTTGGTGGCAAATACCTGCAATCCCAGCACTTGGGAGGCTGAGGCAGGAGAACCACTGCAAATTCAAAGCCAGCCTGGGTTACATAGTGAGTTCAAGGCCAGCCTCGCTACATAGCAAGACCCTGTCTCAAAAACACCAAACAAACAAAAAGACATGAAGAGTGTTGAAGAACCCAGGCAGGATAGTACACATCTACAATGCCACCAGTGGGGAGGATGAGGCAGAAGGATTCCAAGTCTGAGGTCCGCCTCAGCCAGCCTGAACTACCTAGCAAGGTAGGTAGTCCCTACCTTGAGACCTTGTCTCAAAAAAACAAAAACAAGAATGAAGTAAACACTATTTCAGAACTCATTAGTGTAGCTGAGGAATTATGATACTTGGAATGCCTATGAAAGAAAAACCTAAATTATAAAGATTTGCCATTGACAACTTTCAAACCAAGTTCATTAAGTCAAACTGCCTGTCACAAAAAAAGCCACAACGCTAATTAGAAAGAGAGGAAAGGCACTTTCCTTTTTTTTTTTTTTGGCTTTTTTTCCTTTTTTCACTTTGTTTGCCCATCCTGCCTTATTATGTATGTAATCATGAAGATCAAATAAATTGTAACATTCAGTTTTTAATCAAAAAAAAAAAGAAAGCAAAGGAGGGAGGGAGGGAACAGGTACACACAAAACTGAGAAAATCTTCAAGACTACAGGAATAAATAAATAACTTAGCAACAATAAGCCTAGTTTTTAAAAAAAATGATGGAATAACTCATGCCAGACTAGCACTCCCATTACAAGCAACCATAAAACAAACAACTGTTTATAGGACTTTAGACAACAGGCAAGGCAAGAAATCCTTGAGAGACAAGAATTCACAGGGCTGAGGGTATAGTTCCGTGTTATAGCGATTGCCTAGCATGCACACAAGGCACTGCCAGAAAAAGGAGGAGAGGGGGACTAGGACAGGGCAAAATAAGTCCTATAACCACCTCAGCTTTCCACCTGGGCACAATTTCCATGACCATGACCAAGCAAGCAAGAGTTATTTAAGAAAGGCAAAGCAGTTGTGCTTAACTGAATAGGCAGGGATCAGAGCTCAGTGCAGTTGCTACAGCTGAAATCCACAAGGAAGAGGGGCAAGATATATAAGATTCTCCATAAATCCTTGGCCAAGGAGCAAGTTGCAGGTCAAAAATCAATTAAGGCTTTACAAAAGAGTGTCTTAGAGAGGAATGGATACTAGAAGTTAGGGAGTACTGGGAATACTTTTGGAGTTCCTATAAACTAGAACACAGAAACTACTACATCAACACTTTATTAACAAGTCAAGACATTCAACTGAGAAACCAAAATGTCTCAACCAAGAGTTTAAATCCACATCCTAGAATTAAAAATTATGATAGCAGGGCCAGGGATTTAGCTCAGTGGTTCCGCCACCTGCCTCGAAAGCCCAAGGTCCCAAGTTCAATCCCTGTTACCAAAAAAAGATATGATAGCCTTTCCCTAACAAAGCCTAAAATCAAGCCCCAAAAAGTATGGAGGCTGAGTTGCACAAATGGAAGGAAACACAACAGGTTTTCCACAGATCCATTCTAACAAAAAGCAAAACCAAACTCACACAAGTTCAAGGTGATCATCCAGTATAGCCGCTCCTCAATTTATAAGGGGGTTATTTATGTTTCAATCAACTCATCATTAAGATGAAAATATTGTAAATCAAAATTTAATATACCTAACTTACTGAACATCATAGCAACATAGAACACAGGTGTGTCCAACCTGTACCCCTTAAGTTAGACACAGCTGTTACAATAAAAAAATACTTTTAAAATAGAACAAGGCATGGGGGCACATACCTGTACTGTAATTCAAGAACGTGAGAGGCTGAGCTAGTAGGATCATGAGTTCAAGGGCAGCCTAGGCTACATAGCAAGACTGTGTATCAAAAAGGTAAAAGAAAGGAAGGAGAGAAGGCAGGCAGGTGAGCAGGCAGCCAGCATGTAATTCCAGACTCTGGGAGGCTGAGGCAGGAAGGTCACAATTTCATGCCCATAGCACATAATTTATCAATTTAGAAGACCTCGCTAAGTGTGAAGGTCCTGGGTTCAATCCCCAGCACTGCAATCAATCAATCATTCAATAATAAAGTGAGAGTAGTATGTCACTTATGTCATCAGGTTTTTAAGGTTCTGTGAGTTCCAGTTTTTTCTTTTTCCTTCTTCCCCCTCTTCCCTCTTCCCTCCCACTCCTTAACAAGGATACAGCAAAAGTGGCTTCTAACTAAAACAATTATTTTATTATTGTCCAATAAAAGTTCAACTTATTTGACTGAAATCCCATTAGCTCACCTGAGTAGTTAATTTGCTAGTCCAGAAAATTATACTTAATATCCTACAGTAAATTACAATTATTATCCTTCCAAAAAAGTAGACTCTCTTCTCTTTAGTACCTGATACAAGAATATGGAGAAAATCTGAACAACATTTCTCCAAAGTCTAATAAGCTATATAAAGTGTTTGCCTTACTTTCCTTTTCCATGCATTCCACTCAGTGACTTCTATAGCACTTCTAATCTTAAACCAATCACAACTATTCTGTACTTGTGTAAAGCAAAAGAAAATGAAGATCAGAAAAAGGGACCAACCAAATAAATGATAAATACTATTTTCAAAAATCATAACTACAGCTACTCATGCAATTTATGCATACTTGAAGAACTTGTCTACCTCGCCGTATATTATTTTTTCTCTTGAAGAAACTAGAGAAATATATGCTTACCACTACAAAGCACCTTTAATCCCAAAGTGTCTTTTTTAGAACAATCTTTACTGAACCACATTTGACCATACAAAACTGGCAAGAGATACTCTGACACAGTCCTGCATTTATCTTTGAAAACAAACTCAATCTCCCTCCTTCCACCACTGCCACTCCACCAAAATGGATATTATCCAGTCATACTTCCTGTTTTTCAAATGTTGCAGAGGCCACACAATAAGGGGCCTTGTGTAGTCTCAGTTTCCTTCTCTATGAAATGGGAATGATACCAGTACCCACTTTAGGGGCTGTTGCGAGAATAAAGTGAAATAATTCACGATAAGAGCTTAGAACAATGCCTGTCATATAATATGCACTCAATAAATGCAAGCCATGATTTAACCTCCAAAAATAACTGCCTAAAGTCTGATTTTTTATTCTTTTAGTGACGATAAGTTCAACAGAATCCATCAGAGCAAGCGGATATACACACGGTTTTTACATGAACCCATAAAATCAACAGCAACAATATACATTCGGTAATTTTAAGTGTTCAGAACACTTTTGCTCTTTCCAATGGAAACATTTTGTACGACAATAAAGGCTCCGATTCCCTACACTTTACCCAGCGGTTTGTCTGGAGCTAGAAACACGGTCTAGATTTCCACTGGCCTTGGCCTCCGGGGTGGGCTCTCGGGAGAGCAGGCCAGGGCCGCTGAGGGGCAGCGGTGCAGGGCGGCTGGAGGCCAGCGCCCCTGTCCCCTTCTCCGGCGAAGGGTCCAACGACGCCTCGCCCTTCGCTTCCCAGCCGAGGCCGGGCAACCCTCTCCCCGCACCAGGCTCCCGCCAAAGAAGTCACTGCCGCCAGACTCACAGAGTGTGTCCACACACGTTCACCATCAGCTTCAAGGAAGGGTTCCGGTATTTGGTGGTCTTACACCGGGGGCAACCCTGGTCGTCCATGGCGTCTCCTCCACTCCGACTTTCCCCGCCACCCACCCCAGTCACAGCCCCTTCCGAGCCTCACAGACCCGGCGCCGAGCGGGCTCCCACCACCCGGCTCTGGGCAGGAACGGTCCCTCGCCGAAGAGCGCCGGCTGGAAACGAGGCGCCTGACACAAAGGTTCCGGCAGCGACTTCTCAGGTTCGGCAGCCGCCGCTTAGGGGAGGCAGCTCAATATCTTGAAAAAGTTGAGAGGGGCTCTTTAAAACTAGATGCTATGCACCTACTTGCATTTTTCAAGGTATTGTATCATAATTAAGAAGATAAATTCCATCTTGTTCCGCCTGGAAACATGGCCATGATTTCAGATATTTATGCCCAGTGTATATATTCAATAATTTAGACTAGTATTTCTTTTAGGAAATTTGGACAGCTTGTGCTTTATATTTCTCCTCTATAACTGTATAGTCACATAAGCTCAGAAAAAATATATGTTTGCAAATATAAAGTTTGAAAACGTTATCAAGAATCATAGTTTGTGCCAATATTACAAATCCTCATTAAGTGTCAGAAAACTTCTGTAAATATCTAGCACTTGCTATGCAGGGAGCCCCTGTCCTCAAGACTGTTAAGCATGCTTGCTGGTGTCACCTGACTCTGATAGCGCTACCCCTTCCATTAAAGACAACACATTTATTTCCCCAATACTAAAAAAGAATCATATAAGAATATACACGACTTTACTTCAGCAATTCCAAGATCTGAGAGTCCGAAGCTCTTTGGAAATCATAAGCCAGGTTTACTGCATTTAACAAAAAGACAAATGGAAGTCTATGAACATCGCTGTTCTCCAGGCGTGGTGAACAATGTAATCCCAGCCCTCAGGAAGTTGAGACAGGAATACTGCAGAGAGTTTGAGGCTAGCTACTTGGAGGGCTACATAGTGAGTTCAAAGCCAGCCTGAACTACACAGTAAGACACTATCTCAAAAAACAAAGAATATATCTCTGTTAAGTAATAAACTCCCTTTACTGTAAGGAGAAAATCTTATTTATCTACAAAATAGGAATGTATTGATACTTAATGGATAAAGTAAATGAATAAAGGAATGAACATCAAATAATAGCATAATGTGGAGATTTCTAATGCCAAGCACTTCTTGTAATCACTTTCATCTGAACCAAACTCTGATAGAAGTTAGTATGCAGACAAGGTTTTTCAAGTTGCTCTATACAGTAAATATTAGCTTTGTGTATTCATAGTAAGTTTAACTATTCCTAGTACTTCTGTTCTTTTCGATACAAAACTAAAAAGGAACAGTCCAGCTCCTTTTGTAAAGAGGTTTTTGGGGTTTTTTTGAGATAGGGTCCTGCTATGTAGTCCAAGCCAGCTTTGAACCTGCTATGTAGCCCAGGCCAGCCTCAAACTTGAGAGCCTTCTGCCTCAGCCACCCAATTCTGGGATTACAGATGTGCACTACCATGCTTGGCCACATCCCACTTTTTGAAACAAGGAACCCAGTTGGCAACCCCTAGCCTGGAAATGTAGTTGGGATTTTCACGAATTTTGAAGGGGAAAGCCAACAAACAGCTGGAACAGCAGACTAAGGCATCATAGGGCTTTTATTTGGTACACAAACATCAATGATTTGCCTAATAAATAAACCATATTATCTCTTTGATCTTAATATTGTTCACTAACAGGAATTAACCAAATGTAAGTTTACAAATGATGTGCTGACCTGGAAACCTGTTATGCTGCTATTACTTTTAAAAGACCACATCCAGACCAGTTACATGATTCAGAGTGAAGCTCTCCAAAATTAAAGGCAACCCTAGAATCTTTACATATTAACATAGCAGTAAATTTCAGGTGAAAGAATAAATGCAGTCCACAAGCAAATAAACCTTTTAGTCAAAGTGAGTGTGGTGGGACACACTCATAACCCCAGCTACTAGGGAGGGAGACTGAGGCAGGCAGGAGGAGCCCAAGTTCAAGGCCACCTTAGGCAACTAGCAAAACTCTGTCTCAAAATAAGATTTTAAAAAGGGCTGAGAATGCAGCTCAGTAGTAGAGTGCTTAGCTAGCATGTGCAAGGTCCTGGGTTGAATCCCCAGTAACACACACACACACACACACACACACACACACACAGAGTCAATACTATGTTGAGAAGTCATCTAGTCAGATAACATTATAGCTTATTTGCACCAGATTAGTTTTAATCATGTCACTGAAGAGGAAACTCCAACCACAAAGTAAAGTAAATTGCATTCCCTTTCTCCCAGACTTTAAGATCAAGGAAAAGAAAGCACTGAAGATGGTGGGAGAAAGCAGCTACAAGCATTACTATGTGGAAAACTGCTAAGGAAGCATAATAGCTACATCTGATTTGGAGCTCTATCTGATAAGCAGTAGTCAAGGAGCTGTAAGTAGTAGAAAACAGCATTTATAAATTTGGTCTCTGGCATTAAGAGAACTGAATTGAAATACTGGCTTCATCACTTACTAGTTACATGACCTTGAGCTTCAGGTTTCCCAACAATAATCTGAAGGTACTTGTAAAGATTGAATGAGATATTTAAAGTGCTTAATACAATGCCTAAGAATTGTGATGAATGTTTACTGCTATTAATAGTAATATTAATATTATTAGCAGTTACAGTAACTAAAAGAGGAAGTATAATGCAATAGGAGGAGCCTGGCCTTCTAAATCAGACAGACCTGCCATGTGTGGTGGCATACCCCTATAATCCCAGCACTCAGGAGGCTGAGACAGGAGGGTCACTGCAAGTTCAAGGCCAGCCTGAACTGCCTAGTGAGACCCTGTCTCAAAAAAACAAACAAAAAATCAGACAGACCTGCATTTGAGCTAAATTCCTTATCCTTTACCTCAATTTCCATCGTCCATATAGCATGCTACACAAGATTGCTATAATGAATAAATTATATAACACAGGGATTCAAAAAGTCCCCACTAAAGTACCCTGTATGCAGTAGAAACTCTGAAATGCATATCATTATCACTGGTGGGGTTCAGTCACATAGGACAGCCAGAGAGCTTTAACTGCTGAACAGTTTAGCCTGAGGAGCACTCAAAAGCACTCAGGCAGCACATTTGTTTACAAGTAGACTGTCCTGAGCACTGCTCCAGGAGGTGTTATTTCAACCAGTCAATTCTTGTATTGAATAAATTTGATAAAACTGTCATTTTTCATATTTTCTGTTATATCATTTTATAAAAATTAACAAGAAAAAATGCAATTTTTGGTTCATTCTGTATTTAAATAATTGGACTGGTAAGTGATTAAGGAAGAAAACACTACCAGTACTAGACTTCTGATTCAAATGGCTATTCAGCCTGTGTAGAAAATCAACAAACAGAAGTAAGGATGTAGCTCAGTGGTGGTAGAGCACTTGCCTAGCATGTATAAGGCACTGAGTTCAATCTCTAGCAATCAAAAAACAAAAAAAGAAAACTATCAAGTTTCCTACTTTTCCAGACAGCTGCATGGACCAAGTGAGCCCATGACTCTGCTTCTGAAAAATGCTCTTACTCTAGCATTCCCACCTCAGTTAACAGTAGATTCTACCTCTCCCAAGGCAATCTTTCTTAAATGCAGACTTCCGTGCTTGCTTTGGCAGCACAGAGATTAAACGAAGACTTTCCTTTTTACCCTCAAGGCTATGGACCCATGTTAGGCTTTTCTCATCTGAAGGGACATTTACTGCTCTGTTACTTTACTGGGGACAGTCTCTCTCCAATTCAAAGGAAAATAGTCTGTCTCCCACACACTTGAGTGGTTCTTCTTAGCCTGCCAATCACAGTGATGGGCTTCTGGCCCAAAAGTTGGCAGATAATTCTTATTAGACCAATCAGAGCTCTGCCCTAGAATTGTTCAAATTGGCAGGCAGAAACACTTAGATAAAGTTGGCAGTCAGAAGCAGCAGAAGCACTTTGAAAAAGCTGGAAAATGTGAGCTGGGAGCTACTGGGAGCCATGGTTCCTACCTTCTGAGGAAAGCTACTTTGGAAACTACCTGGATGAGAAAAGCAGAAACAAGTGAGTGGAACGGCGGGTCTTCAAATCCAGTCACCTACACTTCTACCCTCCACGTTGCTTGGCAACATGACTCGACAGATTCGTCAGATGGAGCCGCACCTGGCTCCTGGAGCAATCCCTATCATCACTGAAAGGTAAGAGTACTCGTCTGCCTAGGAGACAACTAGGACCTGGAGCTCAGTCATTCCCTACCATGATATCTTCCCCTACTGTCACCCAAGTGACTCGCTAGGTCGCACTCTGCCTTACACACTGCTCATCAGTGTCTTATAAAGCCAGATAACTCAACCACTGAGTTAACTACTAGTTAATTCTTCTAGCACAAATATGGCAAACTCCAGAAAAGGATTCTGATTGTTTTGGTTTGAGGCAAATGCCCATTTAATTAACGGTGGCTATTACAGGACACATGGACATAGCCACTGTGTACATCACAGCAAACTGAACATTTCAAAGTCTTTCATAATTTGCCTCAAACATGCCTTTTAAACTAATCTCCCATTAGACATTTACATAAAACTCACACTCCAGACACACTGGATTACTCAAAATTTCTGACATATACCACGTTCTTCTCATTCTGTTCCCTCTGCCTCCCTGACTGCTCAAAATTCCCATCCTTAAAGACTCAGCAAAAAATCAACTCCGTACTGCCCTCCCCCTGTCAAAATTCGCCTCTGTATCCACATCACTCTCATAGTCTGTGTTGTATTTATTTATAAATGTCTTATCTCCCCCAAAGAGTTTAAGGTCCTCAAGATCAGAGACTCCAATATGTTAGGTTCCTAATGCAATGCTTTGTATTTAGAACTCAATAGGTCTATGAATCATCCTTGAGAAACATACAATGGATGGGAGAGGACTTTAGAACCCAACTTTCCTAACAGAACCACTACAGCCTGTATTTAGCTCAGTGGTGCCACACCTGCTTGGCAAGCGCAAGGTCCTGAGTTCAATCCCCAGTACCAGAAAGAGAGAGAGAGAGAGAAAGAAAAAGAGAGAGAGAGAGAGAGAGAGAGAGAGAGAGAGAGAGAGAGAGAGACCTAATAGAACCACTACATAAGCTTTCTGAAATAGAACTCACTAAGAAATGGTTACCATGGCCTTCCCTCCATCTTCCAGTTAGTCATCCTTAGAGTAGGAAATCCTCGTTCTTGGTGACAAAACCATAGAATATATTCAAGCAAGGTATAACCTGTACCCAACCAGATTTTCTTCAATACACTAAAATGGCAAAAGAGTTCCATATACTCTCATCACAATCTTCAGGCTAAAAGGAAAAAATACACAAACAAGGGGCTGGGTTTTCCGCTGTTCTTCACACTCACATAATTCCAGCATCAACTCAGTTCTCCCAAACCACAATACAATGTGACACTGTCTATTATAGACATAGAAAACAAAAACCAGTATTCATCAAATTTACAATCTTACATGTTTGGCAAAACAAGTACTCTGAGATAAACTCCACACAAAGACTAGTTCCAATTCAATGTAGCTATATTTTTGGTTTTTTGTTTTTGTTTTTTGAGGCAGGGTCTTGCTATGTAATTCAGGCTGGCCTCAAACTCTTGGAGATCCTCCTACCTCGGCCTCCTGAGTACTGAGATTACTGGCATGCATCACCATACTGGCAATATAGCTATGTGTGAGTCCTCTTCAAACTGCTGGCAGAATGAGTTCTGAGACTCTGCCTGCTAAATAAATAAATAAATACCACATGAACCTAAACTAAAAGAAGCCAAGATAATGGAGGCTGGAGGTTGGGTTGGGTTGGCTTTCATTTCTTGACCTACAAGCAAATCCTCCTGTTGCTGACGTGTAGATGTCATACAGAAGACATTCAGAACCCAAATATGTGGACTTCTAAGTCAATGCACTATATCTGATTGATAATTCTGAATCATACTCCTATGACCTGATATTGGATAACCCCTAATACAGCCAACGATGTTTAAATTAAGATACATAAAACTAATGTTTCCCACTTTATAAAAGCAGGAGGAAGGGGGCTGGGGATTTAGCTCCATGGCACCCTGCCTGCCTTGCAAGAGAAAGGTCATGAGTTCAATCCCCATTACCAAAAAAAAAAAAAAAAAGCAGGAGGAAGATAAACATTTACCTAGGATTAATTATGCAAGTTGTTTGGTGACATATCTTAATCTTTGTAACAACTTTGCCCACTTTTTTACTGTTAAGTAAATTGCCCAGCTAGAGTTAAATTTATGTCCAGAATCCATATCCTTTCCACAGAACCATACTTCTTCCCATCTACTTTGCCCTGATAAATATACTTTAATCTTCAAGCAGTTAATTGTATTGTGGTATCCTGAACTGGACTGTGAAACAGAAAACAAACACTAGTGGAAAAACTGTATAGAGTTTAGTTAATAAAAATGTGTCAATATTAATTTGTTCAGACAAATGCATCATAATGTAAAATATTAATATTAGAGGCAACTAAATGAAGGGTTAGTGGGAACTCTGTACTATTTCTGTGACTTTTCAGTAAATCAAAATTATTTCAAAATAAAAAGGATATTTTTAAAAATTCAAGAAAGTTTTGAATCTTATATATTGTCTTGAAGCTAAATACTTAATTGGATGTTTCCAAAGGACTGCAAGCACGTAAGTCTTTTCTATAGTTAAGAACTTTTTTTTTTTGAGACCGGGTCTCACTACGTAGTTCAAGCTGGCCTTAAACTCACTATGTAGCCCAGGCTGGCCTCAAACTCACAAGAATCCTCCTGCCTCAGCCTCCCAAGTGCTGGGATTACAAGTGTGCAACACCACACCTGTCAATAAATATTAAATCTACCACAAATATCACTTCTGGCCTTTTCACATTAGGGTGGTACAAAAACAAGTCAAATCCTGTATCAAAAGGCATCTTAGTTGACAAGGAGTCAAAATACAGCCTGACATTAAAAAAAAAGAAAAGAAAACCTCACTAAGTTGATCATGACAACAGGTGACCTAAACACTTGCTTTATAATATGCTGAAGTAGACAGGCATGGGTAGTTGGGAAGCAGAAACAACCACCTAAAGTAAAGGTTAGTGATGTCATGAAAACGTTGGATTTTGAGAGAGAGCAGAAGCAACCAGATCCAACTGATGTCCAGGAGGCAAAGGCGGACAGAAGTTCTTCCCTTTCTGAGTTAAGACCTCCTGCAACATGAAAGAGATCCAACTGTAAACACCACTCCCCCACTTCTGCCTCCGACCTCCATCTGTCTATGCCGCTCCTGGGCCATCTCCTGCAAGACACCTGCACATAGAGAGGGTGTTTCTACCAGGAATACTCTCCTCAAACAAGGAACGACTCACTGATCTCCAGCCCCAAAGGGGAAAAGAAAGTCTATTCATATTTACATTAAAATGGTTCACATATAAAATTTTCAGGTCTTTGTTATAATGTAAAGCTTAGATTTCTTCCATATTACGTATCCAGGATAAATATATGATTTAATATTCTATATATTTAGTTACATCACCACGTACATCTCAGGTGGGTTTTCAGCCCTCCAGGTGACAAGCACATTTTTTGAATGCTTATTATTTTTGTCTTCCCAGTGGACTATTCATAGTACTTATTTCAAGATTTTCAAGCATTTTCCCCCTTTGGAATTTTATTTTACTGTAAATGCCTTTCCCTTATAACATCCTCTGGTGCCATTCCCTTTTCGACCCCTTTGAATATAAATCCTAGATAGACATCCTATAGGGAGGGGGCCGGCGGTTGGGAGGGGTAGAGACACTAGGCAGTTTCTGAATTGTCCTCTGAAATGCTGTCCCCTAGATGTTGAAAGTAGCCCTCTTATTAAGAAAGTAGCCGTCCAGACCTTGAGGCCACTGAATTAATATTCCCTCTGGAATCAAAGGACCTTTCTTTGAAAGAGTTGTCCAATTTTCAAGTCACATTAGGTAACTGCCGGTCCGGGAGCGTGGCCTGAAAAGAATGTCGGAGTTTCCCTTCAGGTATAGGTGCCTGGGGGTCAGGGGGAGAGGGAAAGGCAGGGGGTGGAGTGGGAGGCGGGTGATCGACAGGGATAGAATCGGTGTCTCCTCCTCCCTCGGAAGCGAAGTAGCCAATGAGGTGGCGCGGCCGGCCCGGCCTGGCCGCCAGTGCCATATAGTATGCAGCAACCGGAGGAGTCACGTTGGGGGAACGGCAGAAAGCAGCTATCCGTTTACACTACTTTGCTCAAGCAGCTATCTTAATGGTGACTGCGTGGCCGGGGGGAAACCTGATCGGCCAGATCCAGCCGAAACCAGGAGGGAGGGAGTGGGCTTTCCGGAGGGGGGGAGGGGGGAGGGAGACGAAGAAGGAGGAGTGAGAGAGGGGGAAAGAAAGAGTAAAAGAGTGCGAGGGAGTGAGGGAGGGAGGAAAATAAACAACAAAAAATGTCCTCTTCCTCCCCCACCGGGCAGATCGCGAGCGCGGCGGACATCAAGCAGGAGAATGGGATGGAAAGCGCCTCGGAAGGGCAGGAGGCGCAGCGCGAGGTGGCGGGAGGCGCGGCGGCAGGGCTGAGCCCCCCGACTCCAGCCCCGTTCCCTCTGGAGCCGGGGGAAGCCGCGGCCGGGGCGGGCCGCGAGGAAGGGGCGGCGGCAGAGCCGGTCCCACTCCACTCGGAACTTCTGGGCGGGCACCGCGCCGCCGCCGCCGCGCAGCCCCCGCTGGCCTTCTCGCCGGACCACGTCGCCTGCGTGTGCGAGGCGCTGCAGCAGGGGGGCAACCTGGACCGCCTGGCCCGGTTCCTGTGGTCCCTGCCCCAGAGCGACCTGCTACGTGGCAACGAGAGCCTGCTGAAGGCGCGGGCGCTCGTGGCCTTCCACCAGGGCATCTACCCGGAGCTGTACAGCATCCTCGAGAGCCACAGCTTCGAATCGGCCAACCACCCGCTGCTGCAGCAGCTCTGGTACAAGGCGCGCTACACCGAGGCCGAGCGCGCGCGCGGCCGGCCGCTAGGCGCCGTGGACAAGTACCGGCTGCGCAGGAAATTCCCGCTGCCCCGCACCATCTGGGACGGCGAGGAGACGGTGTATTGTTTCAAGGAGAAGTCGCGCAACGCGCTCAAGGAGCTCTACAAGCAGAATCGCTACCCTTCGCCTGCCGAGAAGCGGCACCTGGCCAAGATCACCGGGCTGTCCCTCACCCAGGTCAGCAACTGGTTCAAGAACCGCCGGCAGCGCGACCGGAACCCCTCGGAGACCCAGTCCAAAAGGTGAGCGCCAACTTTCCCCCTCCTCCTGCCCCCGCGCTCCCCACCCCCCTCCCAGCTTTCTTCTCCCGGCGCTGCAAACATGGCGCTTACCTTCCCCACAGCCCGGCCGGCTGCCCACCTCTCCCCGCCCCCCGCCGCGCCCCGACCCGCAGGGCCGCCCCTCCCCCCGCGGCCCCCAGAAGTTTCGTCGCCCGCGAGGCCCCGGTCCCCGCCCCCACCGCGCCGCGCCGCCGGCTGCCTGCCCCCCTCGCGCCTGCTCCGGAGTTGCCACGCGCGCCCTTGGCCCGGCGGGCGCAGGGAGCGCGCGTGGACGCCGGGGTGCAGCTCTCCGGGCCGCTCCCGCGCGAGCTTCCTCTGGACTCCCTGATCCGCGGGGTTCGGCTGTTCCCCCCCTCGGGCCTGCCCTGGATGGAGGTCGCCGGGGGCCGCTCCGGAAGGCAGAGGGCGTTCGAAGGGGGCTGGTGGCCCAAGTGGGTCTGGGGACGTCGAGGTTTGAATGTGACAGAGTTAATCATTCACCCTGCCCGCCGCGGTTCTTCCGCGGCCGCGGCAACGTGGGGAGCCGGCGCGACTCGGCTCTGCCGTGTTTTGAAACCTGATTCTGAACGACTTCGGATCGGGTTTCAGCGCCGCAGGGTAGCAGGGCCGGAGGGCCGCTCGGGGCCCCAAGCCGGCGGGTCCGCCTCCCTCTGCGCGGCGATCGCGGGTGGATGCGTGGGGGACCGGTTCCCTGGAGGGGCAGCAGGAGAGGAGGGGGTGCTGCCGACTCGGCCCTCGGCGGGCGGACTGCCCTCCCGTCGGGTTGGGACTGTTGGAAGGGCAGGTTTTTCTCCTCTTCGGTAGAAAATACAGGGACTTCCACCTCTTTTGTGTCCTCCGGAGCCTGGACACTTGGGGTGTGCGTGTGTGTGTGGAGTTGGATGAGGTAAAGTAAGGAAAAGGTCGCCTAAAGACTTGCGGCTCCAGCCCTTCGGGGACTGGGGAGGAAAGATCTGAGCGTCCTGCGCCGAGGCCGGGGAGCCGCCCGCCCAGCCAGGTGGAGGTGACCCGCGCGCCGCCGCCCGCTCCTGCCCGGCACCCGGCGGGCCCGACGACCGCCGCTGTCCTCGTCCAAGGAGGGAGGCTCAGCCCCCGAGTCTGGCCCCGGGTAACCAAAACAAAACGCGCCCGCGACGAGTGAGAGCCCCCCCGCAGGTCTGCGGAAGTTAGGTCGGGCCCTGCCACCTGCCCCACGCCCGCTGGGGGCCGCGGATCTCCGGGAGCGGGCAGAATCGGCCGGGCTGGGCCAGAGGGTAGGGAGCGGCCACCGCGCACAGGCACAGGCCAGCTGCCCTCCTGCAGGCTCCGCGCCCCCGCCAGCGCGGTCCCTGGGCTCCCCGCCCCCACACCGCACAGCCGACTTCACCCCCTCCCCATTAAACACACACACCCCGCCCAGTTGCCTGGTGTAGGCCCCTCTCCGGATCTGTCTCCCACCCGTACCCCGGGTGAGTCACCCTCGCAGACGGCGACGGCAGCTCAGCCTCAGCTCATAAATCAAAGCGCTTTCTGCGCTCCTGGCCCCGCAGCCCAAAACCCGGGTAATCCCCTCCCCTCTCCATGAAAGCAAACAGACCGCGGGCCACGGCAGCACTGTCGGACCCTTTGGTGGGCCAGGTTCCACCAGGAATCCAGACTGCCTCAAGAACCCCACCACTCCTCTCTGCCTAAGTTGGGGAGCAGAGGAGCACAGTCTTGCCTGGAACCAGACCAAGGGCTCTGGAAGGGGGTCTGATGGTTACAAGGCCACTGAGTGACCCACACTTCACCCCCAGTCACCAGGTCACTGGATGGACTGTTAAATAGGTTCCTCTGGCTTCGAAGGGACTGTACAGAAGTGTTCTTGGATTGAAAGTGTGCTTCCTACAAGGACAGACACTTTTTGAATGAGAGTTGTCAGTCTGGTGGAGTAGAGAAAATGGACTCTTGTTAATGAACTGGCAAATACAGTTGAATACTTCACACCTCCTGCCCCTTTGGCCGTTCCTCTTACCTCCCAAATAACTCTTAACCTGAGTTAGTTGGACAGTAGGGGGGTCCTACTCCTGAACAGAAAAAACTGTAGTGTAAAAGCAGCATGTTTCACAGTAAAGAAAAGCACTTTACTGCTATATAAAGGAAAATACTCTCCTGTGAGTCCTATTTGCTAAATTTATATCTTCCAGATCATTGGCCTTTCCCTGAATTTATTGTTATTTAAAATTATTAGGATCTGAGAGTTCATCTTCCCAGATTCTCTGGCTGGTCGGAGAAAGGCCTCAGAGCTTCAGTAAGGCTAGCAGACATCCTGCTATGCTTTCCTTAAATACTGCCTTTAATGGATTTAGAAGCTGTCTTCTAAACAAACGGCACTGTGTGCAGTGGCATCTCCTTGACCTTCTGAATGTCTTGGTTTCCCCCTGTACAGTGAGTCAGATGGCAATCCCAGCACTGAAGATGAATCCAGCAAGGGACATGAGGATTTGTCTCCTCACCCACTCTCAGGTTCATCTGACGGTGTCACCAACCTCAGCCTTTCCAGTCACATGGAGCCAGTGTATATGCAGCAAATTGGAAATACTAAGATACCATTAAGCTCTTCTGGAGTTTTGTTGAATGGAAGCTTGGTACCTGCAAGTACTTCACCTGTCTTCCTTAATGGTAATTCTTTTATTCAGGGACCCAATGGAGTTATCCTTAATGGATTAAATGTGGGAAATGCGCAGACAGTGTCACTGAATTCACCAAAAATGTCTTCCAACATTGTGAGCAATGGTATAGCCATGACTGACATACTGGGGTCTACTTCCCAGGATGTGAAGGAATTCAAAGTCCTCCAGAGTTCTGCTGCTAACTCAGCAGCCACCACCTCCTACAGCCCCAGTGTGTCGTTCCCAGGGCTGATAACCAGCACTGAGGTGAAAAGAGAAGGCATTCAAACAGTGGCTTCCCAGGACGGAGGCTCTGTAGTGACTTTTACTACACCAGTGCAAATTAACCAGTATGGCATTGTCCAGATCCCTAATTCCGGAGCAAACAGCCAGATCCTTAATGGGAGCATTGGATTCTCTCCACTGCAGCTGCCTCCTGTGTCAGTGGCAGCGTCACAAGGTAAAAGCCTCATTTGGTACCATAATACACCAGTGGGCGTGTTGGTCAGCTGCTATAAAGGATGCATTTAGTGAGAGCTATAGATTGATGTTACTGTTCGGGTACCTCATTGGCTGCCACAACTGCACAATAGCTTGATGAGAATATCCTTCTCAACACCTATGTAATACTCAGCTTGCTTCATTCCCTCACATCATGGGGATGGGCTTTTATCTTTGCAAAATTGAGTGGAAAAGTACAGTTCCTAGCAAGTCTTGCCAAATCTACAATAACAAATATAGTAAGCCAATCAGTGCTTATAAAATAACCCACTACTTCACACTTAATATTAAAAATTAATAAAGTTGCTAAAAACAAAATTAATCAAGCAGCTGGTAAGGATGTATACACCTTACCTAAGCATTATTTATTTGACAAAAATATGTTCTAAAAGAACAAGCTAAAAAGACCAAATGAATTTTATTTGAAACCTGTTCCTCTTATAATTAAAACAAAGACCTAAAAGAAAACCAGAGTAATATGTAATACAGTGTCTGTTGCTCTGGATGTATATTTACCCCCAAAATATATGGGTTTATTTATGAAGACAACTCTAAGCCTTATGGTATATGCTGTGGATTTACTAATAGAAATTTGCTAAGCACTGATTTGAAATTTGGGAAACCTGAGACTGATACGACTGAGGTTCTTTGTTGCCTTTAAAGCAAGTCTGGCTCACTTGTCATTTTCTTTATATAGAAAGAGAAATGGTTAGAATTTGGCAGTTACATAGTCCCATAAATTCAGGGCTGGGAGATATAGATGCATATGTGACTTCCTATAAGCAAATATGAAAGTCAAGATTTTTACAAAACCAAACTTAAGGAATTGTTGGCCTTGAAGGTCATCTTTCTATAAGGATAGTTTACCAGAAAGAAAGAAAAGCAGTTTCTGCCCAACTGTGTTGTTTCCACAACTGTGGTGTACTTGAGCTTATTGGAGACATGAATGGGAAAATGGTTGTAAATTTCATTCTATAAGTTTGTTTCTCTTTAGGCAAAGTGGTAATATAACACAACAGTCCTGCAGTGTGGCTGTGCCAAGTTGTTCGTTTTTCCAGGTTATAGAAAGAGCCAAGCCTAGTTACTGGTCAATGTGGGAGAAAAATATGAAAGCTGCAATATTTAGTTTAACAATAAGTTAATGTATATCTCGCCTCTTTTCCCTCTTTAGGAAAATTTCTAAACAAAGGTAATGTTTTATAGACAACAAATTTGAACAGAAAGTATGAGTATATGCATTGAGGAGGACAAAAGCAAAAGTATTTTTCATTTGCAATCTAGCAAAGTGGTACCATAGAAAATTTTTGTGAACTAATAATTAAGTTTCTAAGTGAGATATTTAAGAGAAGTAAGAATAGAATTTTTGTTTAAAATAGCTAAGAGCAAATAACAAGACTGTCAATTCTTGGAATCAAAGGCATAAGTTTCACCAGATGGGTCCAATAAGCAACATTCCTTTATCGTAGTTGTGTATTATACTTCTCAATAAAGCATTTTGGCGATTCGACCTTTCTCAAAAAAGTATATTAAGCCTTCTTTAAAATGTCTAGACAAGGTCGACTTAACATTCTATAGCTGTGATTTGTTTTTAAAAATAGAATATTTGTATCTTTTATTCACTTTATGATCTGAGAAAGTGAGATTTTTTTTCCTGTCATCATTACAATTTACACCTATGATTTTCAGTTGGATTTTTAAACTGATTTTAAAATTAGTGTTCAGTTTATAACTCTTTGTAGTTATGCTTAGTCATCTTTTAGATCACATCTGCTTTTCTCCACTTATATATGTTATAATTTCTACACATACAGAAAAATTATTTTACTTGTATTCAATAGCCATTGGAAAAATGTTGCTGTAATGTGTTATTTATGACTATTAAAAATAATTATTTTAGGGCCAGGGATTTAGCTCAGTGTTTCCACCATCTGCCTCGCAAACTAAGGACCCGAGTTCGATCCCCGGTACCAAAAAACATAATTATTATTATTTTGTTCACATGTACACTAGTAAACAATTTTACAAACACAAATATACAACAAAATAAACCTATTTCAGATGGTTTTTTGCTGAAATATAGCAGCTTACAAGAATTTTAAACCATACTTACAGTGAAGCCAAATATTTTCAAGTAAAAGCAGTTGTTTTTCTTTTTTTTTTTAATATTGCCTGAACAAACATTTATGTTAGGGAATAGCTTGATGTTATGTTAGGGAATACCTAGAAATGCTTTTGTTAACAACCAGTGTTTCTGTGATGAATACTTCCTAGTGGTTCCATTTGTAAAAGGAATTCATATAGTGTTTTCTCCCTTATTCTCCTTTAGAAACATGCCTTTGCATTAGAGTACTTAAAAATGTTTCAAATACATAAACAGTCCAGTAGAACATATTTATCAGTATAGGTGGTAATATAATCGCTATTATTCAAATAATTCAAGAAAGGATATGCTGTAGGTGATTACCCCATTTAACATTGGGCTGTTGTCCCAAACAGTAAGACAGTCTAATTCAAGGTCAAGGTAAATAGCCCCTCTGAACTGTGTAACAAAACTCTCCTCAAATCTACTTTTCCTTCCATGGCAACATTTGGGGACCCGGATTATCTAATTGCCATCATTTCACTGTGCCTGTGTGAAAACTCAGAAGGAAAAGTGATTCCATTTATTGAAGGGAGGGTCTAACTCACCTACATTGTCTGAGTTATCTGATTTGAACATCTCAGCTTTCCACTTGCATTTCTTTTTTCTTTTTCTACTTCTAGTCTCTACAGACCATTATAGTGAGAGCCTCAAAAGATACAAACCTTTTAGAGAAGCATTAGCTGTGGTCCTTTATGTTGATCTGTATTTTAAAAAGCACATTTCAGTGTTGTCATTAATTCTTCCTATCACTACAATCCTGAAAATTCAGAACTGGCTCAACAAAAAAAGAAAAAGCCCTTTGAATGTTCTGTTGACCTGACATTACTTTATGGCTAGTTTGGTGAAAGTTTGCAACTTGTCTATACAAGTTTATTTGGTTAACTTTTTTTTTTTTTTTTTTTTGGTACCAGGGATCAAACTCGGGTCCTTGTGCTTTCGGGGCAAACAGTGGAACCACTGAGCTAAATCCCAGCCCTTTATGTGGTTAACTTTTAAACCCCAGGGAAACTCATTTTCTGTGGCATTCTGTACCTTTCCATTCATATTTTATGTCATTACTGATCACTCCTGAACAAAAGGCATTCTACTTTGCATTTATATTTTCTACTTCTAACTGGCAGCACTAGCAATAACTAGAAACTAATTAAGAGATATCAAGTCGGTAATAATGAGCCAGATACTTAACAAATCAGAACTTGGACAAGTCTTTCTTTTTCTTTTTTTTTTCATACTTGGTTTCCAAACCAGTAGTTTTCACTTTCATTTTGTCATCAGAATTGCTTGGAAAGTTAAAACTACAGCTGTTCCAAATCAGGTGTGATAGCGGGCATCTTAATCCCATTGCTCAGGAGGCTGAGGCAGGAGGGATCACTGCAAGTTTAAGGCCACCCTGAACTACATAGAGAGAGCCTGTCTTAAAAAAAAAAATTTTTTTTTTTAGTACAACTGTTCTAGGCAAAGGATGTAGCTCAGTAGTAGACCACTTTCGTAGAATGTACAAGTCCCTGAGTTCAGTCCCCAGCACTGCAAAAATTATTATTAGGCTAGTGGAGCGTAGCGGTACACGTTTGTAATCCTAGCTATTCAGGAGGCTGAGGCAGGAGGATCACAAGTTCAAGACTAGCCTGGACAACTTAGTGAGACCCTGTCTCAAAATAAAAAATAAAAAGGGGCCAGAGATGTAGGTTCATGCAAAGGCCCTGGGTTCAATCCCTAGTACAAAAAAAAGGTTTAAATTATTAAAGGGAAGTGTCACTTCTCCGTAGATACTGTACCTGAGGGGGAAAAAATCATGTGTATAAAGAAGTAACTTTTTCCGTTTTATCACCTCCATCAATGCTAATTGGTACTTTACTTTTTTCTAGGTAATATTTCAGTAAATTCAAGCACTTCAGATGGGAGCATATTTACAAGTGAGTCTGCCACAATTCAGCAAGGAAAGGTTTACTTGAGCTCTCTTGCTCCCAGTGCAGTGGTATACACTGTTCCTAATTCAGGCCAGACTGTAGGATCTGTGAAACAGGAAGGCTTGGAAAGGAGCCTGGTATTTTCTCAGTTGATGCCTGTCAATCACAATGCACAAGTAAATGCAAACCTGTCTTCTGAAAATGTCCCGGGGAGTGGCCTTCATCCACTGGCCCCCTCGCTAGTTAATGTATCCCCAACTCACAATTTTTCCCTGACTCCCCCTACTCTACTAAATCCCACCGAGCTAAATCATGACCTTGGTGATAGCCAGCCAATGTCTGCACCTGTGGCAAGCAAATCTACCGTGACCTCTGTCAGCAACACTAACTATGCCACACTTCAGAACTGCTCCCTTCTTACTGGTCAGGACCTTTTGTCAGTCCCGTTGCCTCAGGCTGCCCTTGGGGAAATAGTGCCTACAGTTGAAGACCAGGTAGGTCATGCCAGCCCAGCAGTTCACCAGGATTTTGTCAGAGAACACCGACTGGTTCTGCAGTCTGTAGCTAACTTAAAGGAGAACTTCTTACAGAATTCTGAGAGCAAAGCAACAAGCAGCCTAATGATGCTGGACTCCAAATCTAAGTATGTCCTAGATGGCATGGTTGAGACAGTCTGTGAAGACCTGGAAACAGATAAAAAAGAGCTTGCCAAGCTCCAAACTGTCCAGTTGGATGAAGATATGCAAGACTTATAAACTTTTATTTCCTACACTCCCTTCCCTACTTTCTTTTGGCATCAGCAGCAGATCTTTTCGTGTGCCCCCGAAAGACATAAAGCATTTTCCCACTTAAAAGAAAACACTGCTTTTTTAAGTCAGTGCATTCAAGAGACTTTGAATCGATCTGCATGAAGATCACAGTTGAATACACACTAGTAGAACTGCATTGTTGCAGCCTTTTTGTTCGTGTATGTTTTCTTTTAAATGGAGGCAAAGGAACAAGATGAAATGTATCAAGTCAAAGAATATCTAGTTGGCAATATAATTCTAAGGTCAAAATGGAACTTGATAAATTTTTTAATTAAAAATTACACATCTAACAAAAATATAGCTGCAGATGGTTAGAAACAATGCAATTGTTTTTGTTTACTTTGATTATATGGGCATTGATAAGATTAAGAAACAGAAATGGTACTCCAAACTATTGTAAGGGTGTATTTTTTGAAGTTAAGTAGCTTAATATATATATATATATATATATATGTATGTGTATATGCATACAGACACATTTATCTTTTTCAGCATTTTTGAGAAAGTCTTGGTTAAAGTCTGTGCACATTTCCAGATGTGGTTGCTAGCAGTTCAAGGTAGCTGAGAAAGTTTGAAACTCCACTAAAAACTGAAACTTCAGTGTGAATGTAAATATATCAGTACTATAAGCAAGATTTGAGTAAGTACAGTGAATTTTATTTATACCGTGTATTTTTCTCTTATACTTCAGGCGCTATGAACTAAAAAGAAAAATGTTTTCTTACTGTTTAATTTATTTTTATTGTTTGAACAGGAAGTGAACATTGTTTCCAATAAAGTTTTACTTTTTGTAGGATTTTAAAAGCAGTGACTTTTATCAGGAGTCTATTACAGTCATTATTAATAACACTGAAACAGGAATTCTAAATCCCAGTATTGGAATTTTGGTACTTCTTTTCACATCTTTATTCTTTATTTAGCAACTCTGTTTCTTTTAAATATGTTTTATATAGACTTCTATGTGCCTTTTTAACTTGTGGCCTTTTTATTAGTGGTAAGATACATAAGTGTCAACAGAAGCACTGATTGTTCTTTTCTACTATATAACAGGGTTAATTTCACCACAGAATCACATTAAGTCTGAAGAACTTAAGTTTCACTAAATATTATGTATAATGTTTGTCATGCAAATGGATAAACAACTAATTATTACTGATGTTTTTCATTATAATGAAAATAACAGCAATTAGATTACAGAAAACCATATAAAATCAATTCTCCAGGCTATGAAAACAGCCATTTTAAAGTAAAGAACAAATGTATATATTCTGTTGAGCAGAATTCTGTCCTGTTGGAACTTCATTCTCAGTGTTTTGAATTGCTTGATATACTATGACACATGATTGTTGTTTGCACTCTATGATCATGTCTTCTTTAAAAACAAATCATTTGGGTTTCTGTAAGAAGTTTGTTGGATAATGTTGTGAATTATGTTTATAGTTACTATCAGGACTCTGAAATGCATACATTTATGTAGTGAGTAAAGTTATTTTCTGGTGTCTGAAAAGCCAGAAAAGTGAGAAAATGGTATGTTCAGAGATGACTTAAAGTTGTTAAACATGAAAATGTTGCATCTTACTTTAAGATGAGAACAAAGGGTCCATTCTATATCTCTACATGTCCTTCAGCTGAACGTGTTGAACAAAGGCTACCGAGTACTTAATTTTTGCTGTTATTGCAGGTAGAACTTGAAGGCACAAATAAAGAGCCCTATGAAGAATCCCTACCCCATTATTTTGATAAAGAACTTACATCCACTTTTTATGGAATTGGTGAATGTTCCTAAACTGCTGAAACTACATGGTTTTTGTTTTGTTTTGTTTTGTTTTGTTTGTTTTGACAGAGTCAGGTGTTTTGGAGTTCTCTTCCATTCTACAATACTTATACAGTAGCTTGTTTGTTCTTTGGCTATGTGCTGATCATGTTACCAAGGTTAATTACATGATTCTGTAGTTTACATAAAAATGATGTTTTCCACTTGATTGCTGCGGATATCAAGAGTTTATTAATTATTTTAAAATACCCATCCAGTAGGGAGATGGGAAGGTTTGAAGAGTTATATATGTTACATATATAACTGGGAAAGTTTTATATGTCTTCCAAAAATATAATAAACCCTCTCTTTTATTTAGAGTTCTTCCTCAGTTCTCCCATGTGAAAAAAAGAATAGCACAAAAACCTCAGATTTACATAGGAACCCCATTTATATTCCCAACATAGTGTAATTATAACCTTACGATTACTCCAGGTAGCTACACAATGTACCAGGTAAGAATCAATGCACATTAGAAAGAACTTACTGTTCTTTTCTTTCAGTAAAATAAAGGCCAGTTGGTATGTAGCCCAAGTATATGTGAATGGAATAATATAAACCCCATGATCTCCTTGCACAGAATTGCAAATGTAATTTTGCAATGCCAAGGGCCAGACCCAGAACCCTTGGAGTTCATGTGGCAGAATATCCTTCTTAACATAAACCAATGCTTGAAAATGCTGCAAATGACCCTCTAATGATGCCTGAAGGGCAATCAGAATGGGGTAAAGAATTCCCTTCACACCCCAACTCCTGCTACTGGCTGTGGGACTTTTTGGTGTGAGCCTATGTATGCACTCTGTCAGCCAGAGTTTGACATTTAGCTCTTAGTTACATCCAGTAAAGGACAGACTCTTGTTTGAAGAGAAGGTGCATTTGTTCCTCGAGCAAGCAAGAGCCAGCTGTGTTGTACTGCATTATATCTCATGTATATTTGTACTAAAGACTCTGAATTATACACGTTTCAGTGCCTTTCAGGTGTTGTGAAAGGCAGGTAGATGTTATAGCCATAGATTTTTTAAAATCTAGTGTAATTGCACACTGACCTTAAATTTCCCTGTATGTGCCCTTATATCATGCATGTTAACAGTCAGATTGTTGGGCATGTGTAGCAGCCTTCCCTGCTACGTCCTAGACAAGTGTGCATTAGTGCATAGCCACAAGTTCTTCATTCTTTAAAATGTTTTAGCAGATCATCTCATATAAAAAATAATTCAGGAAAGCTGTGGGGGAAAGAATTATATTTTACAAATGATGTTTCAAAGTCTTCCTAAAACTTAGATAATAGAGCCTAACAGTTATTTTGAATCTTATTAGTATATTTCAAGTTAAGTAAATATTACCACCATAAATTTTATTATATCAAATTGCATAGCATGTGACTCTTGGCTTTCAGGGTTCTCAAAAACTATTCTTTCATTGCATGTACTGTATGTTTAGAGGCAACCAGTTATACACTCAATATGGTTTTACTGTGCCTTACACAAAGAGAAATTTTATCCAGAATGTATATCATGGGGTGGGGAACAGAGTCTTTACTGCACTGTTAGGTGATGGCACACAGCATGTCCCAGAACATTTCTGTGCTTAATTACCCAACCAAAGAGATCTAAAGTATGTATGTTGTACTGTAATGGGGGTTTATGCCTGGACAATTAAGTGTTTTATTTGTTTTCTGAAATGATGTGAACTTATTTTTCTAAACACTATGCTAAATAAACTTTATATTTATACATACCCTGTGTTGAGAAATATCATTTGAGGAATATTGGTTTTAAAAATGTGATGACCTCATCTTAGTAGGCAAACAGGAAATTACGATTTTATTTATATCTGGAGAAACAGAACAAAAAACACACATTCCAAAGGCTGGCAAATACAAGGCCAATTGGAGTAATTTTGGAAAAGCTATCTGTGTACAAAGTTGTGCGACTCACTTAACTATATGACATACTCAGAGCTAAATTATAAAATTTTATCCTTAGAGTGAAGACATGTACCTTTCTCATTTGTGTGTTTCAAGTCCTGAATGTGCAGGATGAGCATGGTGCTACACATCACAGCTATGATTTCAGCTACTCAGGTGGCTGAGGCAGGAAAATTGCAAGTACAAGGCCAGCCTGGGCAATTTAGTGTGGGACCTTGTCCCAAAGTAAAATTTTAAAAATAGCTGGGGATGTAGCTCAGTGGTAGACCACTTGTCTATTTTGTATAATGTCATATATTCAATTCCCAAAACCACAGCAAAAAAAAAAAAACTTGCTGAATATCATGTCTGGCACAAAGTAGGTGCTCTATAAAAGTTTAATGGGATTAAGTAGAAAGGTCCAGGGGAGGGGATTTAGTTCAGTGGCACTGTGTACCTGCCTTGAAAGCACAAGGTCCTGATACCAAAAATAATCCCTGGTACCAAAAAAAAAAGTAGAAAGGTCCAAAGACTTTTCTGTTCTAGGTTAATTAAAAGCTCAGCATCATCCAAACCCATAGGACACTGTCCTTGGCCAAAGTCTGGTTGCAGCACAGTTTGATTGGAAGTTGGGGCAGAATTGCAATACTGCTAAATGTAGAATAGAAGATTAGGACCTGATGTGGCTTGGTCCTAATTTTAAAGACACATGCATCTGATTTTCTATTACTCCTATACTGAAACAGAAGGCTGCTAAAGTAGGCTGGGCTGTCCAACAAGAAATATTTCGGGAGTTCTTAAATGGCCTGGAGGGCAGTTTGCCTCCAAATGTCTCCAGAATTTTATGCTTTCCAACCCTTCCATCTACTCTATCTCTTGCTGATAACCAAGGCCAAGTCCTGTTGTTGAGAGTGACCTCACCTGAATCTGTACCCTGAACTCTAGGCTGGTAGAGGCAGATCCCAAGTGAATATTTTCAGAATGTCCTCAGTCCCTGCCATTCTACCTATGAAAAATTATCTTCTCCCGAGTCTGTTCCCTGCTGTGCATTCCTCATCTCAGCATTGTTATTCACCCATTTGGCCAAGCAGCAAGTCCAAGGTTCATGCTGGAGTCTTTTTCTCCCTTTCTCCTTCCCTATTCCATCAAATCACAGGTGTAACCAAATCTGTTCTTTTATAGTCTCTTGAATCAGTTTCTCCATTTCAGGGTTACTCTTACTGCTTAAGCAGTTGCTCTTCAACTGCATCACTGAGGCCACCTCCTACTTGGTCTCGGAGTATCTGCTTCTCATTTTGGCCACATTACAACCTCACTGAGATGGAACTGTCAGAATTAGACTGACTGATAACTGCTCTCCTTTTCCAATTTAAAAGCAGTAGCTGGGTGTGGTGACGCACGCGTGTGATCCCAGCCCTCCAGGCTGAGGCAGGAGGATCACCATGAGTTCAAAGCCAGCCTGGGATACTAGTGAGTTCCAGGCCAGTCTGAACTACAAAATGAGACCCTATCTAAAATAATAATAAAAACTCCAGTGGTGCACCATTACCTATGAAATACCAACTGAAATCCATAACAGAGTCCCAAGATCCAGGCCCTCCTCTTGACTCATGACGTCTGTAGCCACATGAAATGTCTCCAAAGAGAAAGAGACCAGCTTCCTTTCCTACCCACCCAATTCCCAAGACTCATTCAATGTCACTTCTTCCAGGAAGCCCCTCTCCCCCTCAGGAGAACAGTGCATGCATAGCCTGTTCCGTGATTAGACAAGGGTTTATATCTTGCTTTAGTGTGGTACATACTGTATCCCTGGAAGGATGTGTTTGCCTCTACATTCTCATCTTCCCTTCCTGGCACTTAGTAGTATGCATAGAGCATAGTAAGAACCTAAAAATCATCTAGGTGAACAGTGACTGTAACAGTCATTTACCATCCTTTTTCCTCCCTCCCTGCCTCTCTCTCTCTCTCTCTCTCTCTCTCTCTTTGCCTTTCTCTTTCCTCCTTTCTTCCTCAGTGCTGTGCATCAAACCCAGGACTAGCACAAGCACTCTACCACTGAGCTACATTCCTAATCCTTATTGCCATTTAAAGTGCAAAAATAAATCAATACATTTTGAGAAAGACTGCAAGTGGTTCTTTGAATCTTCTAATATTAGTAGATGGTCTTTAGGGTAATTGTTTTCCTTACTGCTCCAAGGTTTTTTCCACTTCCAAGTTAAAGGCTGGGTTCCAGGTAATAGAAACTGGCTAAAGTTTGACAGATAAGTGGATGGGGCATTAGGAAAAATGTACTCACTGAGCCCTTTTAGATCAGTGTTTCAAAATAGCACTGGTGTACAGAAAATCTATTTATACTTATATATACACTTTCTAAAAATATTCTCTCTGGCTATACCCATATTACTTGCATTTGAACTTAGCAAATGTCTACAGAATCAATGAAGCTGGGTGTGGTCACACACGCCTGTGATCCCAGCAATTGGGAGGCTAAGGCAGGAGGATTGCCACCTCCAGGCCAAGCTGAGCTACATAGTGAGTTCAAGGCCAGTCTGAATTACAGAGCAAGAGCTTCCTTCCAAAAATTAAAAATAAAGAATCTATGAGAAACAGTACATGAAATGAAGAGGTGATAACTAGGAAACCTGAATTCTAATTAGTCTTCAGATGAAGGAAATACCAGCGGATCCCATTTTTTTCTGTGAAATGAGTATGTTACTTACCATTACATTTGAGATTGAGATCCATGCAGTACATTTAATAAAATACACTTCCCCCCCCGAGTTAAGATCAAATCAGTTAGAGGGTGAAATTACACAGCGACCTGCCAAGGACTGGGAATATGAGATAATTGGTGTAGGGCCAACAGCTGTGATCCTCAGGATTATTTAGAGGTGTACAACTAGGTAAGGCAGGTCTGGTTTTGTATCTCTCCTCCTTCACCGGTATAAAGCCTGTCCCCTGGCATTGCTCCACCTCCACAAGTGCATTAAGTAACCAACCATCTTAGTGTTGGTGGTTAACTCTTGTACAATGATCCCAGCATCTTACCCCAGGGGAATTTGCATTTTAAGGAAGGCTTTTCAAGATACAAAAGCACTAAAGTATAATAACAGGATAACTAGTAGACTCATAAAATTGAACGAGGTCTTCCCTTTTTTAAGTGCAGTAGCAAAATTTGTGTGTGTGTGTGTGTGTGTGTGTGGATTTGAAGGATGGAGAGACAAAGATGGGGAGGAGCGGGGCAATGTCGCTCTTTATTCTCTTCCTTCTTTGTGGGCTCTATGTCCCTGCTGAGGATCAAGGAACAGACAGTGCAATTTAGAACTTCTGAAAACAATTAACAGAGTAGTTTCCCCCATACCTAACTTGTCCAGAGCCTGGCAATATTCCTGCAAGAAGATTCCTGGATGAAAATATAAGTCATTTTTTATCAAACACCTTAAATACTTGAAAAAGCGTGCTGGTGTTCTGGTAAGCATTGCCTGCCAAATACATTCTGTTTATCATGCAGGTACAATGTTTTCTAAGTTATTGTATGGCCTATAAATAATGCTGCCTTTTAAATATTTGTCTGTAACCCAACATTTTCAATTAATTCATACTGACAGATTTCAGCCTTTCTTAGTTAGAAAATTGTTGGATTTATTTGTAAATCAAAATACTTTTTATAAAGAAAAGGAAACACTAAGGTGCAATCTTTGATATAATGCCCTAACTCTGATCATATTACCTTAAATGGCTGATGATCATATTACCTTATATGAATACTTCCCAGAGGTCTGGGCAAGCATAAGTCATATACATTCCCTATTTGTTTGTACTGATGCAAAGAATCCGGCAACATTCAGTGAGATTTGAGCTTTCAAGTGCCAACTTGATTAAGCCCAGATGTTGGCAATGCCAGGGGGTTTGTACCTAAACATAAAACCAGACCTGTGATTTGGGCCCATCTTCTGTTCCTGGGGAACACAGTTGTGCTAAAGGACCTAATTCTAGCCTCTGGAATCAGCAACAGCCTTGAAAACTTCCAAAGCACTGCCTGGTTGAGTTGGTTTCCTCGATGTAAATCTACTCCCAGTGCCCATATGCCGAGCGCTGGACTTGGTAATGAGGATTCAGAGAGGGTCCGTCTTTAATGTCTAAGAACTAAATTAAATGAATCAGAGCCTCCCTATTATGGAGGGCAAATTGTATTAGTCAGTCTACCATGTTAAGCCATAATCTCTTCCAGAAACAGTCTTACAAAAATACACAATAAAATAAATATCTAGATATCCCCTGGCCTTGTGAAGTTGACACATAAAATTGATTATCATCAACTGTCTCTTACTACCTGAGTGACCTTGAGCAAATTATTTCATCTCCTTGTGCTTCCTTACCTGTGAATTGGGAAGAACTGCAATACCTATCTCATAGACTTTTTGGTGAAAAAATAAATCATGTATGCAGAGTACTTACCAAAGTACATAATTATTGCTACTTACTAATGTCAACCTTTTACTGCATAGGATTCCATTGTTATGAATAGGCTATAATCTACTCAATAGATTACTACTGATAAATTTCAATTGTTTCCATTTTTATAATACGGAAAATGTCATATTAGATATTAAATGTTTTAAAGAATATCTTTATAGCTATGTATTTGGGCACAATTCATGATTATTATTGTCTTTTTTATTATTATTTATAAATGAATGTACTTGCTTAAACGGATATGTTCAGAGCTTTCAGTACACAGACTCCCACACTCTGCCGTTTTGACTTTGTCCTTGTGCCTTGTCCTTGAGGTGACCATACTCCTCTGCTTCCCTGATACTG